AGATTTAAAAATTCAGATAACTTACTAAATGATCAATTAGATATTAATAATTCACCCTTATTAAACCTTTTTCCCAGTTTTCTGTGAGATAATCCCGGTAATGGGCTATCTTATTGTTATTTGATGGATATTATAATTACCTAAGTACCCTTATTTACTTTAAATAGTTAGTTTATTTTGTAATGTTATTGATGTTTTCTTAAGTACTTTGTTTTGTTAAATTATTTTGTATATATATTGGATACCGAATTGTAAATAGTCACATTTGAAAAAGAAGTTGTACTTCGAAACATATGTCATGTTAGTGTTTGTTTAAAAATTTTTATTTTTAAAATAAAAGTGTGAAAATCTACCAAATTTGGTTTTACTCTTTCAAAATTAAATGGATTTTCATCAAGTAAAGGCCGAAACAATAAATAATTCAGTTTTAGGGTCCCATACACATTTGATTTGAACCAATGACTGCAGATCAAAATAAAAAGGAATCGTCTTACTTGAACTAAGTCCGAATAGTACTACTCGTACTACGGTGGAATTATGTAGTCAAATAAAGCATTTAGCTTCTGGCCAGGTGGAGTAATTCAGGCTAGTAGAGGTTCCGAATACTGAGCGAAGCCCTACGATGTGTGGCTTGGTGATTCTCTGAGCGCCGCGCGCTGTTTGACTACAATCGACAGGTCCAAATCTGAAGATTCGACAAGAGGGAACTCCAAAATCCAAGGAAATTGAAAGTCAAATGGATTAGTGTAGAATAAAGAGTTGTAAAACTATACAAGAAGTAAAAAAAAACGGAAAAAGGAAAAAAGAAAAGGCCTACAAGAAAGAAAATATATATGAATTAAATGAATAGAAATCAAGAAGGCTGTACTTACCGAAGAGATAGCGGGTGGCCTATGAGAGATTTTTTTTATAGAAAATCAACAAAATCCTCCGCAGGTGAGTTTGATTCTCATGAATATTTAATATTGATTTTCAATTTAATTTTCTTTATTATTTCAGGCGAAAATCCGAAAAATCGCGAATACAAAGCACAGCTTCAATTCCAAAAGCCCAAAAAAAAAAGATAAGAAAAAAAGAGGCAAAAACTTTTAAATTGATAAGAGACAAATTGCGCAGGTAAGTGCCAGGGACTTCTATAATTTCTAAGGTGGATAACCTGATTAATTTTTAGGAAAGAAGAAAAGAAGATTAGCTGCTTTCTTTCTACCACTATACTGACCTAACTTTTAGATTTTGTTCTAAGTTAAACGTTCTTTGCTTCAAAGTTCGTAAATCGAGAGCGTCAAATTTTCAATCGTCCGGACAAAATTCGTCGGAGCGTTTATTTCTGCCCAATAAATACGAACGGTAAGCTCAAATGTCAGATGTCATTATTGTCAAATTAAGTTTTTGGTTATGTCTTATCGATTATTATTGTAGGAATTATCAAAAATGGCAATTTCTTGTAGTTACAAAATACACAAGTTAATTCGTTATTTTATTTATTTAGATTTGCAAAATGGATTTTCTTCTTGGTAATCCAAGTAGTTCAAGTTCAAGTGAGGAAGATGCTTTTGCTGAGGAATATGTTCGAGTTCAAAGACATGTACCCAGAACAAATAATTTCATTGCGACAGTTGTTGACAATTGTAGCAATAAACAATTTCAAGAGCATTTTAGAATGACGAGAGGCAATTTTCAAGAATTATTAAATCGTTTAGCACCATCATTAGAAAGGCAAGAAGGGTCAGGTGGAAGGCCGCGAATTTCTGTAGACAAACAATTATTGTCAGTTTTATGGTTGTTAGCCACGCCAGACAGTTACAGGTAAGTTACAGATAGAAGTATACTTATTATTTTTTCATAATCATGCTCTATTTATTTATCTAGTTTAACTTCACGTCATTTTAAGCATTTCTTTATTGTTTGCAGATCTGTTGCTTGTCGTTTCGACATGGGCAAGTCATCTTTGTGTACCTGCTTCTATCGAGTGATAATAACATTGAATGAAATTTCACCATTAGTAATAAAGTGGCCAAATAATGTTGAAAAGCAGGCAATTCAAGAATCCTTCCATCGAATAGCAGGCTTCCCAGGAGTAATTGGAGCAGTAGATGGAACGTATGTACCAATTAAGGCTCCTCATGAAAATCCTGAAGTTTACATTAATAGAAAATGTTTTCATGGCATAACTTTACAAGCTATAGCTACTCCTAAGCTAAAATTTATCGACTGTTTTACAGGCTATCCAAGTTCGGTGTCAGATATTAGAATTTTCAGGAACTCTGATATAGAGATAGAGAAATTATAAATAATCGTATAAATTATTTTCAACAAAACGAGCACATTATTGGAGATAAAGCTTACCCAACTCTACACTGGTGTGTGCCTCCTTACATTGATAGAGGTAATTTAACACAAAGGCAAAGAAATTTCAATAATATACATGCAAAAACACGTCAAGTTGTAGAAAGAGCTTTTGCATTACTCTTTGGAAGATTCCGTCGATTGAGATATCTAGATATGAACCATACTGATTTGATTCCAAGTACAATAATAGCTGTGTGCACATTGCATAATTTATGTTTAAGTGATGACAACTTGATAGAAGATTATGTAAATGAAGGATTACGGGTAGTAAATGAAGAAATTGAGGTTGTTGAACACATACAACAAGGCATGAATGAAGGGATTGCTAAACGAGACTATTTGGCAACAATAATTTAAGATAATAAAATGATTTAATTTTGTAACTTTAATAAAACATTTTTTTAACATTTTACTTGGTTTGTAACTCTAGGTAATGTAAAAGACAAGTCGGTCTGGTACAGTCTAGGTTTGAAATGCATGGTTTGTTGATCAGACGAAGTTGTCATTGATATTACCATATGCACATATACCATACAACCTTTTTAAAAATCACGAACATAAAATTAATAAAAAACTACAAATAACTCTCTTAAAAAATTGCAAACAAAACATTTTTAGAAAATCACAAACAAAACATTTATAGGCTTAACTAAAACCATTATTACAAAACTAAAAATGTACAAAATAAGTACAATTTAAAATAAATGTATACTTATATAAAATCTCTTAACACAGCCTTCTTTTTAACTTAGTAGGTAACATTTATTTTGACCCTTTTAAGACATTTGTTAGGTCTGTCAAGACTGACACTAACTCCTTTTGCACTTGCAATTTTTCTTCATGCCTTTTATTTCTTCCTCGTTCTTTAATGTTTTCAATGTCACGATATACATCAGTAGAGGGAGTCATTTTCATGGAGCAACATTAGGATGTTGTCCAAAAATTTTCTCCATTTCGTCAAAATAATCAAACCTTATAGCTTTGGCACCAGTTGCTTTAGCTCCCATGTTATCTTTCTTTTCAATGTAGAGGTATCTGGGACAGAAGCTATAGAATCTATGAAATTTTCTAGTCCTAATTTTGATAGGGAGACATTGGATTCTGGTACATCTACACTTGTTTCCTGAATACATGCAGTCATGGATGACATGGGCATGGTCGGTATGGAATACCCAGATGAAAAGTCCTCCGAGAAATTTTTTTGAAATACATCGATTATAAAGGTATGTATTGGTTCGCTCATCGATGTTTGGCACAACGTCATGAATAATTCGTGTTCCTCTAATAGATTTTTCAAGTCCTCGAAGATAATTACTGATTTCGGATATGTCGGGGATTTCTTCAGTATTCTGTTGACCTTGTTCCAAACCATTAGCAATGACCTCAACTCCCGCTTCCCCTCGAGATCTTTTTTGTGAGACATTTGAAGAATTGCCATCTCGAACATAGTCACTATTACTGAGAGAGGGAGACCGGCTTCTGGCCAAATTAATTCCAGCAATTTCACTAGACAAAGTAGTTGACATGGCATTTCTATTGTCTGGGGATCCATCATCTAAAAACTAAAATATTTATTCTATTACAACAGTTTTAAAGTATGGTGTAGTAGTTATATAGGTTGATAAATGCGGTACAAAGCATTTCGATTCGTTAGTATCTAATCTACAAAAAAAACAATGCAGGTGCGATTCAGCATGAAAATGGACCCAATTGACGGCGATGCCTTCTTCTTGTCGATGTAATTGGTGTATTAAATATTTGCGATAATAACAATCATAACAACATATTAATTCTCGTTTACTGTTAATGCCATAAATATGATAAAACTGGTTACACATATTAAAATTGTGATGGCACCGAACCAAATCATCAAATATCTCATTCTGGAATGACCATTCGGCAACAACATCGCATGGTCCATAATTAAAAATAAAATCCAAAGTTTCTCGAGAATTATATTTTATATCCAATCCATGAACCTCTACAGCAGTCCAAAATGGTTGAGTATACTCTAATTTACAGCGTTCGAGAGGCGCTATTAAATCAGATACATTTACGGTTTCAATAACATTTACTAAAAAAAAAAATAATTACCTCAGTTAAAAAATCAAAGTCACTAATTTCACTAGTATTACCTGAAGGAGATTGATTCATTTTGCTACTATTCCGTACGCTTGAAAATTATATAATAAATGTAAAATTATAAAGACTTTCGTCTTAACAGACGGCTCCGGCGCAGGCAAGCCAGGAGAGGGGCTGGCAAGCAAAAAGAGGGGGGATCATGAATCGACCAATCGCCTTCGGCATGATTATGGTCATGAATCGATTCGAATCATGACCATAATCATGCCGAAGGCGATTGGTCGATTCATGATCCCCCCTCTTTTTGCTTTCCAGCCCCTCTCCTGGCTTGCCTGCGCCGGAGCCGTCTGTTAAGACGAAAGTCAGGAGAGGGGCTGGCAAGCAAAAAGAGGGGGGATCGAATCATGACCATAATCATGCCGAAGGCGATTGGTCGATTCATGATCCCCCCTCTTTTTGCTTGCCAGCCCCTCTCCTGGCTTGCCTGCGCCGGAGCCGTCTGTTAAGACGAAAGTCTTTATAATTTTACATTTAGTATATAATTTTCAAGCGTACGGAATAGTAGCAAAATGAATCAATCTCCTTCAGGTAATACTAGTGAAATTAGTGACTTTGATTTTTTAACTGAGGTAATTATTTTTTTTTTTAGTAAATGTTATTGAAACCGTAAATGTATCTGATTTAATAGCGCCTCTCGAACGCTGTAAATTAGAGTATACTCAACCATTTTGGACTGCTGTAGAGGTTCATGGATTGGATATAAAATATAATTCTCGAGAAACTTTGGATTTTATTTTTAATTATGGACCATGCGATGTTGTTGCCGAATGGTCATTCCAGAATGAGATATTTGATGATTTGGTTCGGTGCCATCACAATTTTAATATGTGTAACCAGTTTTATCATATTTATGGCATTAACAGTAAACGAGAATTAATATGTTGTTATGATTGTTATTATCGCAAATATTTAATACACCAATTACATCGACAAGAAGAAGGCATCGCCGTCAATTGGGTCCATTTTCATGCTGAATCGCACCTGCATTGTTTTTTTTGTAGATTAGATACTAACGAATCGAAATGCTTTGTACCGCATTTATCAACCTATATAACTACTACACCATACTTTAAAACTGTTGTAATAGAATAAATATTTTAGTTTTTAGATGATGGATCCCCAGACAATAGAAATGCCATGTCAACTACTTTGTCTAGTGAAATTGCTGGAATTAATTTGGCCAGAAGCCGGTCTCCCTCTCTCAGTAATAGTGACTATGTTCGAGATGGCAATTCTTCAAATGTCTCACAAAAAAGATCTCGAGGGGAAGCGGGAGTTGAGGTCATTGCTAATGGTTTGGAACAAGGTCAACAGAATACTGAAGAAATCCCCGACATATCCGAAATCAGTAATTATCTTCGAGGACTTGAAAAATCTATTAGAGGAACACAAATTATTCATGACGTTGTGCCAAACATCGATGAGCGAACCAATACATACCTTTATAATCGATGTATTTCAAAAAAATTTCTCGGAGGACTTTTCATCTGGGTATTCCATACCGACCATGCCCATGTCATCCATGACTGCATGTATTCAGGAAACAAGTGTAGATGTACCAGAATCCAATGTCTCCCTATCAAAATTAGGACTAGAAAATTTCATAGATTCTATAGCTTCTGTCCCAGATACCTCTACAATCTCACAAAATATTGTTGTCAACCACCGAGACAATTTTGTCACTTGGAAGTCGGAGGGAGAAAATGGCGAATACCTAGTGAAATTAGAAATTTATCGTACGAGAGATATTGTCAATTTGGACAAGAGCCAATGGTGGAGACAAGGTCAGATTCGGATGAATTTTCTGACAGCCAGTCCAGTCGATCCACTTCAAACATTAATAAACAAAGCAGTTCAATTAGCCATGAAACGAGTTACAACCCTCGAAAACGTCAAAAAGGAAATAAAGAGGAAGAGTTACTACAGTGGCTCCACCAATTTCCGACAAGCCCCATATTAGGTATTATTGGATCTAGAGTGTGGATGAATTCAAAATATAAATTTTTATTGTCTGGGGATAATATGGTAAAAAGTGTATTTAATGTATTCAATCATTATTTTGTAGATAAAACTTTTGAAGAAATTTATTATTATGCAGTTAGTGTAAATCCTTTATATTGTAGTTTTAAGGGCAATATTTTTGATTATTATTATTCGGTGGAGGAATCGGTGAATATTTTAAATGAATTATTGTATTTTCAATTTAACAATGATGAACAAGCAATTGTCGTATTTTTAACTGATTTATTAAATATTATTGATAAGAAAATTCCAAAAGTTAATTGTCTACAAATAATAGCTCCAGCTTCTAGTGGTAAAAATTTTTTTTTTGATACAGTAATACATTATTTTTTTAATTTTGGTTTAATTGGTAATTTTAATAAGTATCAACAATTTCCTTTAATGGAAGCTGTCAATCGTCGCATAAATTTGTGGAATGAACCAAATGCTGAACCTGGAGCTATGGATACCTTGAAAATGTTATTTGGCGGTGATAATGTTAATGCTAAGGTAAAACATATGTCTGATGCTGTTGTTTCAAGAACACCTATCATTGTATTAACTAATAAAACTTGGTTAAGTAATGATGCTGCTTTTCAACATCGATTAATTACGTATAATTGGAAAACAGCACCATTTCTAAAAAATTATAATAAAAAACCATATCCATTATCTATTTATTCTTTATTACAAATACATAATATAATATAATACATTGTGTTTAATTTCCATATGTTTCAAAACCTAAAGGATCAATTTGTTCGTAACGTAATTTATCTCTAGCTGGGAATGCAACAAATTCAGTACTTTCTCCATGGGCAGGTAATTGATGTGGAAACAGTGAATCACAATCATATTCCAATACCATTTCAGCGTCAACGGCAAAATAAGCAGCAGTATTTTGAAAATTAGTATTATCCGTTGATGGATTTAACGCTGGTGTTGGTAAAATACCGAAATAAATATTCGGTACACACATTTTAGGTGATTTAGGATTTGCATAATGAGGAGCAAAAACTTTACTTCCATCCACACTGAAACCCAATAAATCTTTAATATTTCCACTTTCAAAATTTTGAGTATTAATTGAGGGTTTAACTTTTACTACTCCATTTTTTGTTAAACTTGTTTGTATTTGAGCTGGCATTTTATCTAAAATATTTTGAGTGTATCCTGTATCAGTGTCACCAATAGCAAATGGAATATCATGATCCTTACAAGATAAGAATCCAAAAGAGGGTGTATAATTCCATTCAATAATAGGTTCACCAATATGTGACAAAAACTGAAATCGATTCATATATCGGTCTAATTGATAAACACCTTCATTATGAGTACTGTAACCTGGTACTCCGTTATTTGAATTAATACGTAAACATGCGTACATATCAACATGACGAGGAACGCCCATACACATTGGTCCTTCTTCTTTTAAATCAATGTCACCATAATATTTTTGTAAAATATTTTCAATAATTGGAGCTTTTGTAGCCTTTGGAATCATTGGGGTGTCTGCTTCACTCTCTTACACTTGTCCTGTAGTATATATTTTCTGGTTTAAACCAACTGCATAACAACCAATTGCGCAATGTTCACTTGTAGCAGTTCCAGACAAAGTTGTTCCGGTATCGAACGCTGTACGTAATCCTAATGGAGTTACTGTAACTTTCAAATTTTTAATTTTTATTTGTCCATGATTCCAAATTGTAGTCAATTCATGAGGGTTCATATAAAATCCTACCATATCATTAGGTAACACAGCCAACGGCGTAGTTAAATGAACGTGGTCACCCTTTGCGGTAATAGGTGTAATTATATTTTTAAATGCATATCCGTATGTATAAAAAATTCTGCTTTTTCTATAATTATATGTAACTGCGTTCAACCGAATACTTCTTGGAATATTTACTTTTTTCGTAGTTGCACCTTGAGTTGCACGTGCGCCAGCACCTTGTTGGCCATGAAGTAGATCATTATCAACATCCATGCTGTCAACGGGTGATAAATTTAATGGTATATCGCTACCTTGATCACTGGTACTAGGCGAATCGAGAACCGGATCTTCTACTGGTGCACTTGTTGTCGGCCTTGAAGTTGTTGACGTTGTAGATGCTTTGTCTGTGGTTGCGTAATATTGTCTCATAAAATCATGCCAAGCTGTTTTTCCCCCGGAGGCTTTATGTTTTTTATATTGCTCACTAATATCTTGTTGAATATTTGCGTATCTCTTATGACCTTTATGGGTTGAACTTTTTGGCGTCGATGTTATGGGTGCCATATACGGATATAATTGATGTTTTAAAATGTATTTTTCTATAATATGTTTCACACTTAGTCCAAGAACTCCAGCTAATGCATGCGTATTACCATCACAAATGAAATTAGTAAAGAAATCTCGAATGGCTAATAAATCTGCTACTTCAATATCTCTCTGCGATTCAGCATTTAAATAAGCTAAATCGTGTTGTAAAGCAATGTAATCGTCAAAATCTAAAGGCACTTCACTATTTATCTCATTACCAGGTCCTAAATACTTATGAAAAGGTTAATACTGGTATACGGTCTTTTATATTATTAATTACTTCACGCCACATACTGAATATTCAATTTTTTTTCCCTCTTATATTTCAAACAAATGTAAAATATAAAGACTTTCGTCTTAACAGACGGCTCCGGCGCAGGCAAGCCAGGAGAGGGGCTGGCAAGCAAAAAGAGGGGGGATCATGAATCGACCAATCGCCTTCGGCATGATTATGGTCATGATTCGAATCGATTCATGACCATAATCATGCCGAAGGCGATTGGTCGATTCATGATCCCCCCTCTTTTTGCTTGCCAGCCCCTCTCCTGGCTTGCCTGCGCCGGAGCCGTCTGTTAAGACGAAAGTCTTTATAATTTTACATTTAGTATATAATTTTCAAGCGTACGGAATAGTAGCAAAATGAATCAATCTCCTTCAGGTAATACTAGTGAAATTAGTGACTTTGATTTTTTAACTGAGGTAATTATTTTTTTTTTTAGTAAATGTTATTGAAACCGTAAATGTATCTGATTTAATAGCGCCTCTCGAACGCTGTAAATTAGAGTATACTCAACCATTTTGGACTGCTGTAGAGGTTCATGGATTGGATATAAAATATAATTCTCGAGAAACTTTGGATTTTATTTTTAATTATGGACCATGCGATGTTGTTGCCGAATGGTCATTCCAGAATGAGATATTTGATGATTTGGTTCGGTGCCATCACAATTTTAATATGTGTAACCAGTTTTATCATATTTATGGCATTAACAGTAAACGAGAATTAATATGTTGTTATGATTGTTATTATCGCAAATATTTAATACACCAATTACATCGACAAGAAGAAGGCATCGCCGTCAATTGGGTCCATTTTCATGCTGAATCGCACCTGCATTGTTTTTTTTGTAGATTAGATACTAACGAATCGAAATGCTTTGTACCGCATTTATCAACCTATATAACTACTACACCATACTTTAAAACTGTTGTAATAGAATAAATATTTTAGTTTTTAGATGATGGATCCCCAGACAATAGAAATGCCATGTCAACTACTTTGTCTAGTGAAATTGCTGGAATTAATTTGGCCAGAAGCCGGTCTCCCTCTCTCAGTAATAGTGACTATGTTCGAGATGGCAATTCTTCAAATGTCTCACAAAAAAGATCTCGAGGGGAAGCGGGAGTTGAGGTCATTGCTAATGGTTTGGAACAAGGTCAACAGAATACTGAAGAAATCCCCGACATATCCGAAATCAGTAATTATCTTCGAGGACTTGAAAAATCTATTAGAGGAACACGAATTATTCATGACGTTGTGCCAAACATCGATGAGCGAACCAATACATACCTTTATAATCGATGTATTTCAAAAAAATTTCTCGGAGGACTTTTCATCTGGGTATTCCATACCGACCATGCCCATGTCATCCATGACCATCCATGACCATCGAATCATGACCATAATCATGCCGAAGGCGATTGGTCGATTCATGATCCCCCCTCTTTTTGCTTGCCAGCCCCTCTCCTGGCTTGCCTGCGCCGGAGCCGTCTGTTAAGACGAAAGTCTTTATATTTTACATTTGTTTGAAATATAAGAGGGAAAAAAAATTGAATATTCAGTATGTGGCGTGAAGTAATTAATAATATAAAAGACCGTATACCAGTATTAACCTTTTCATAAGTATTTAGGACCTGGTAATGAGATAAATAGTGAAGTGCCTTTAGATTTTGACGATTACATTGCTTTACAACACGATTTAGCTTATTTAAATGCTGAATCGCAGAGAGATATTGAAGTAGCAGATTTATTAGCCATTCGAGATTTCTTTACTAATTTCATTTGTGATGGTAATACGCATGCATTAGCTGGAGTTCTTGGACTAAGTGTGAAACATATTATAGAAAAATACATTTTAAAACATCAATTATATCCGTATATGGCACCCATAACATCGACGCCAAAAAGTTCAACCCATAAAGGTCATAAGAGATACGCAAATATTCAACAAGATATTAGTGAGCAATATAAAAAACATAAAGCCTCCGGGGGAAAAACAGCTTGGCATGATTTTATGAGACAATATTACGCAACCACAGACAAAGCATCTACAACGTCAACAACTTCAAGGCCGACAACAAGTGCACCAGTAGAAGATCCGGTTCTCGATTCGCCTAGTACCAGTGATCAAGGTAGCGATATACCATTAAATTTATCACCCGTTGACAGCATGGATGTTGATAATGATCTACTTCATGGCCAACAAGGTGCTGGCGCACGTGCAACTCAAGGTGCAACTACGAAAAAAGTAAATATTCCAAGAAGTATTCGGTTGAACGCAGTTACATATAATTATAGAAAAAGCAGAATTTTTTATACATACGGATATGCATTTAAAAATATAATTACACCAATTACCGCAAAGGGTGACCACGTTCATTTAACTACGCCGTTGGCAGTGTTACCTAATGATATGGTAGGATTTTATATGAACCCTCATGAATTGACTACAATTTGGAATCATGGACAAATAAAAATTAAAAATTTGAAAGTTACAGTAACTCCATTAGGATTACGTACAGCGTTCGATACCGGAACAACTTTGTCTGGAACTGCTACAAGTGAACATTGCGCAATTGGTTGTTATGCAGTTGGTTTAAACCAGAAAATATATACTACAGGACAAGTGTATGAGAGTGAAGCAGACACCCCAATGATTCCAAAGGCTACAAAAGCTCCAATTATTGAAAATATTTTACAAAAATATTATGGTGACATTGATTTAAAAGAAGAAGGACCAATGTGTATGGGCGTTCCTCGTCATGTTGATATGTACGCATGTTTACGTATTAATTCAAATAACGGAGTACCAGGTTACAGTACTCATATTAATTCTCGTTTACTGTTAATGCCATAAATATGATAAAACTGGTTACACATATTATAATTGTGATGGCACCGAACCAAATCATCAAATATCTCATTCTGGAATGACCATTCGGCAACAACATCGCATGGTCCATAATTAAAAATAAAATCCAAAGTTTCTCGAGAATTATATTTTATATCCAATCCATGAACCTCTACAGCAGTCCAAAATGGTTGAGTATACTCTAATTTACAGCGTTCGAGAGGCGCTATTAAATCAGATACATTTACGGTTTCAATAACATTTACTAAAAAAAAAATAATTACCTCAGTTAAAAAATCAAAGTCACTAATTTCACTAGTATTACCTGAAGGAGATTGATTCATTTTGCTACTATTCCGTACGCTTGAAAATTATATACTAAATGTAAAATTATAAAGACTTTCGTCTTAACAGACGGCTCCGGCGCAGGCAAGCCAGGAGAGGGGCTGGCAAGCAAAAAGAGGGGGGATCGAATCATGACCATAATCATGCCGAAGGCGATTGGTCGATTCGATTCGATTAAATATTTGAATTTATTTTTACATTGTTCCCATGTATGAGATGGAATTTTTGTACTTATCTCTTGCCACACTTTATCATTTTTTATTGTCGTTGATTTAATTTTTTTTTTCATATTCCTCATACAAATTAATCAGTGACAAAATTTCTTCTCTACTCCAAGTTGTGCGGATAAGATTTTCATCAGTTTCAGCCTGGCGATTTTCTATTAATTCAATGGATGGATTTATATTATCTTCAACTTCTAAATTGAACCTATTGATAACAACATTGGCGTCCACATAGACTAATGTTTCATCTGTAATAAACAAAATAACAATATTTACCTAAAACATTTAAGGAAAATATTCAAAAACCTTTAACCCTTTGTAATAAAATTTTATTATTTTCTATAATGAAATTGCCGTCATCTCCGGCAACTAGATGATAATTGGTAGAATTAATTTCCTCACTCATTGTATTAAATATTTTTCAAAAAATAAAAATAGAAAATAAAAAGATTTGGTTTTCCAATTTAATTAAGGTTATGTTTGAAGACATATAAATATACTGCGCAAGTCGAGTTAAAATTACCCTACTCAATATGGTGGGTAAAATTTCTTCATCCCGACGCGTTTGTCTTTTAAATAGGAACGGCTTGGGTAAATCGTCCCGCTAAAATCTTCTACATTTAGGAACGCTTTTTAGAGTCTAGACAACGTCCGGACGCGTTTACCCTACGTTTATGAACGCACTCTAGTGGTTAGTCAGAATCTTACTTCCCCCCTCACCGCCGGTAAGGTTACCGAATTTTAACCTTAGTCTTAGATTTCGATCTGAGTTTCAGAAAATAAGTGTTTCATGGTGTCCATGATGTGTTTTGACTGTTTTGTGTTTTAAGAGTTTTTCTCGATATAAACGACTATAACCTAACTTTTTACAATTTCCTATAAAGGGTACCTAAGAATCAAAAGTTCTATTTAAATATAAATATGTTTGTGGAGCTCACAGATGTTACCACAAATTATGTGTACGAAGTGGAGGTAACTGAAGAAGAGGCCTTACGAGTGCAGAGTAAGTATTATGAAATGATGAATAATCAAAACTTTTTAAACCTTGATTATTTATTTCAGATGACTATGCTTTCGCCCAACAACTTTTAGAAGAAGCAAAAGTCAGAGGGGATGAGAGAAACGTTGAACAAGATGAGTATAATGAAATTCCTAACAAAAAAAAAACACACATATGGGCTTATACAGATATAGTGATCCTCATCGATTCTGTGTCGAGTCATTATGAAGAAATTAAACATAATAACCCAAAAATAAAAAAGAAAGGATGGAAAAATATTTTAAATGACTTGCTGAGTGCAAATGTTTCTTTAACAATTGCAGATATAAAAAAGAAATGGTCTAATCCGGTCCAATCATATAACAAAGCAAAAGATATCCATAATAAATCGGGAGGAACACCTTCCAGGTTCAACTTTTTTGAGAAAATTGATGATATTTTAGGTGACAAAGCTAATAATTGCAGCCCTCATAGTTTTGACAGTGGTAACATTTCGGAATCAGTGATTAGATTTTCAGGTATTTCATTATTAACTTATTTTAACTGTTTTAAACTTGGTATAATTTCTGACATTAAGGATATTCTTGGGTCTCCCCAAAATTTTTAAAATGTTATAAATTTCGCAAAATACATTAACCTTTACACAGCTATTTAATTTTGTTTTTTTGTTTTTATATGTAATGTTATTTACTGTTTTTATATTGTAATTCTTTTTTGTTGCTGTTTTAAGTAGTACCTACTTTTCTTTAGTGATTTAGTGAATGAGTAGTTCTATATTCTTATAGTATGTATTGTTTTAAATTGCTTTGTTTTTTTTACATTTCAGAAGAGCCTCCACAAGAATCACAATCTATTTCAGATGATCAATCTATTCAAACTGATGGGTGCGCATCATTACCATCAGGTAGGTTGTTTCAGATATTCCATTACACTTACAGCTAGTACTTTGTTTTATTTTGAAGAATACAAATGAATTTATAATGTGAGAATTTTTATACACTGTCATTTATCATATTAAAAAATTTGAACCAGGAATTATATAGTATCAAGCATTATTTAAATTATATAAATATGTAATATGAATTATTATTGAAGTTCCAGTACGACAATTAAGAAAGCGAAACACCCCTGCAGCACAGTATTTATTAATTAAAAAAAGGTATTTGAATAACAAAGAAGACTTGTTAGAACGTAGACAAGAGAGGCAAAGAAAGTTGGAACTATTGAGTGAAAGAAATATAATAGAAGCAAGGAAGGCCAAAGCTTTAGAGGATCTGGTTGAATTGAAGAGAAAGGGTGAATAAGTATTGTCATTTTTTGGTACATTAATAAATAAAGGTGTTTGTTTAGTTCAGTAGTTTATTTAATAACTAATTTTAATTTGCTTTTTACAGCAGATTAAGAATAAAAGAACAAAAACGAAGTTAATATACATACTCATTTTTAATAAAATTTGATCACATTATGTGTTTTATACATAAAGCAGACAGAGTGGTGTAATGCTATATAAATAAAATTAAAAATTATTGCTCTGGAAACATTCCTTGAAACAACAAATTTGTTCTGTTATCTACCTGAGGAACATTTGCATTAACAAAATCATTTGCTTCTTCAGCATCACAGAGTTCATTTTCCTCATATTCTAGTTCCAGATCATCAAAATTAATGCAAATGTTGTGAAATATGCAGGCACACACTACACAAACAACAATAAATTTAATGTCTGTGTTGGAAAAACCATTAAGTAATCTCCTAAAGCGGGTTTTTAAAAGGCCAATAGAATTTTCTACAATCACTCGAGTACGTGAATGTCTTTTGTTAAAACTATGATGATTTGGTGTTAAGTTATTATCATCTTTAAAAGGTGGAATTAACCATGATAGACATGGGTATGCTGAATCTCCTAGAAAAAAGTAATCACCAATGTTTAATTGACCATTTTGTCCCTTTTCATACAATGATGACTTTCGCAGTACTCTACTATCATGTTGAGAACCTGCTTCACCACAAAAAATATCCATAAATCGTTTTTTATCACTACTTGTAAAATAATACTATGGTATTTTTTTCTGTTGAAATATGCACCTAGATCATCAATGGGTTTTTTTATTCTAATATGAGTGCCATCAATGGCACCTAACACCCCTGGAATACCAGCTTTTCTGCGAAATTCCAATTCTGTTGCAACAGCATCGTTTGTCAAAGGCAATTTTATATATTCACCAACATTAAAAGCAAAATATGTGGCCACTTTCTTAATGGTTACATGTGCAGCACTTTTGGTAATATTAAAACGATCTGATATTTGCCTAAATGTTTCAGAATTGGCCAAGTACCAAAGTGTTAACAATATGGCCTTCTCAGAACTAATTTTTTCACGACCATACGCCACGGTCGCCATCAGCTCTGCTGTTGTTATTTTGCCTAAAAACAATAAATAACTAATTATAACTTATTGTTATGCAAAAAATTGCAATCATCAACTTTACCTACCTATTAAAAAGTTGGCAGTTCCACGCTTCACTCGAAAATGGTGTTTAAATTCAAAATCATTGTATCTGCCTACTGTCTCTAAAAAATTTGAAATTCTGTGATACTTCCTCCTTTCCTTTAATAACCCTTCTTCAAAAGAAGACGCTGAATCATCCGTTTCATAATCTGATGAAGAGGTAGATATGAAATCTTCATATTCATTATCTATCTAAAAATTTAAACAATAAATAAGTAGCTAAATAATATATAATACATAATTAAAAATAACATGTATACTTACCAGAGCCTCAACAATCTCTAGCTAAATCTTTTTTATTACTCATCTGGCTCTCTTGATTACTTCTTGATAACAAAATTATATATAAATAATTTTTTTTCCTTTCCTTTCACTTCAAGGATACAGCAGTTTTTTATATAAACAAAAACAAAATTTGAGGTTAGGTAGAATGACGGCTGGAGTGTCATGGGTAACAGTTAGTTTAGGAGTGTTCTTTGCTCCGCTTTTTAACAGTTAGAATCTGACCTAGTACTTAGGTCAGTTCAGTGGTAGATAGAAAGCAGCTATTATTTCTTAAAAATGAGTGTTTTGTGAAAATTAATGTCAAACAAATATGTCGAATAAAGATGAAATATGACATTTGCAAATAAAAACAAAAGGTAAAATATGTAAACATGGTTTCACATTAATAAATAATTTCAAATTACAAAAATATATCTGATTCTAAATTATAAAAGATATGATACAAAAAGGTAACAGGTAACCCATATTTGATTAAATATTTATTAAAGCAATGATTTTAATCATTTATTTGTAGGTATAAAATAACATTTGAAAATTAAAGACGGTATCATTTTTGAAACCGTAACAATAACGTAAATGTACCAATTCCTGACACCTTAAGGATTGATTTTAGATGTTTTTATTTCTAAAAATAATTATGAAGTAACTGTGGTATATTTTATGGGTGGAACAGTTAGAATAGGTAATGGCAATGATGCAATATTATTGATTTTGATTAATTATATTTATAATAATTTGCAAAATTTTGAAAAATTGTTTATTTTTGTCCAGTACCTGACATAGCTTTTTTTGACTTGGCCCTAGGCCTGACTTTAAAAGAACCAATGCCTGACCCATTATATAAATAGCTCAAATATGATGTTCATGGTAGGGATACCAAATTAATTGCTTAAATAACCTTTAATCAAAGTTAAAATATAGACCTATATTATAAAATAAAATTTAATGAACACGCAGATACAATTATTACATTAGTTACAAATAAATATTCATTTCCTGCACAAAGTAACTACCTCTTGAATTTACAGGTCTTGGTTTTTCAATTTTTCTAATGACGTCCTCCCGTGAATACCATAAAACATCTTCATTTTCTGGCCATCTAAAGTTCAAACCGCTCTGTTCCATCGTGGTTACTAAATAAGATTGATTTTTTGGATCAATCTGTTTTATCTGACCGGGATAATATTTTCCATGGTATAATATTATAACAAAGTTTTCTTCTTTCAAAACATTTTTAGCTACTGTAGTTTCTTCAACTCTGTCACTATCTTCTGATAAAGGTTGATCCCAGTTATCTCCCTCAGCCTCAGATTCGATTAACATGTCAACGGAAGAGTCAGAAGATTCATCAGAAGTTGTACTCAATTTTCTGCGTTTTTTAATTTGTGCCTCTTTTCTTTGGAGTCTTTTGATAAGCTTTGTTTCTTCAATTTTTCGTTTTTTCTCTTCTTTTTCTTGTAACTTTAACAGCTTGGTTTGCTCTCCTTTAATTTTTTTCTCACGTTTTTCTCGTTCTATTTTCTCTCGCTCTTCTTCTTTCTTTTTAAAGTATAGTTTTCCCTTTTCACCTGAAATTACTGAAGGTATGGGCTCTCTAAAAGCTCGCTTTTTAACAGTTTTTACTGTATTTTCAGGCAAAATAAAAACTCCCTTGAATGGACTTGGCATTTGAGCATTTGTTGTATATGAGCAACATGTTTCATTATTTATTGTTTTCAATATATTTTTACTAGTACTTGCAACATCCTCAAAACTATTGTTTTCCAATAAACCCACTTGTAATGGCTTTGAATTTTCTATCTCTTTGGATATTTCATTTTGCTTTGATTCTTTAGATGGAGGTGTGGTTTCAAATATATTTTGTTCTGTTTCCTCTATCTCTGTGATGTTTCTATTATTTTCGAAATCTTCATCAAATACCTCTTGTAAATTGTTTATTACTATGTTCTTCTCTGCCTGTTCTACTTCGTTGGCTTCTGTATTAGTGTTCACATCACATTCCTCTTTTAATGTTTTCCATAGCATGTATAAAGATCTATCAACATTGTCAGGATCATCATTTTCAAATTTTTTAGTCATCTCTGTACCAATTCGGGATTGAATAAACTGAAAATGAATGCGCAACATTTCTTTGGATAAAGTGGGTTTCTGCGCGTTTTGATTATTACTATTTCCTTTAAAGTATTTTTCGTAATTTACTGCAATTTTATCAAAAGGGAATAGTCCACAGCGCCGAAATCCGTTAACAAATGATTCCGGCTTTAGCCGTTGTAGTACAGTATCCAAAAGAGGACAAAAATGTTCTCGTTTCAATTTTGCTCCAGAATTCTTTATTTTAAACAAATGCACTGCTTGTTTCCACAATTGTTTTAGTGGCCAAAAGGCTGCTACATCCATTGGTTGGATGATATGTGTTGAATTAGGGTGAAGAGCTACCAAATATATCTCGTTTTCGCTGCAGAATTCGCTTAATGAGTAAGTCAAATGACTTGAATGTCCATCGACGAACAACACTACTGGTAATTTAATATTGTTCTGTATTAACCAAGGATGGAAAATATTTGCGATATACTCAAAAAAAGTGATACTTGTCATCCACCCTGATTCCGTTTTTCCGACACTCCAATGATCAGGAAGTTCACTTATGATACTTGAAGGTATTCGTTCATATTTAAATACTGCCATTGGAGGCATTAATTGACCAACAGCATTGCATCCAATCAAACAAGTGATGCACTCCTTTTCATCATTGCTGCTAAAAGAATAAACTGCCTTCTCTCCTTTACGAACTAAAGCTTTCTCTCCCTTTGGAGCTAAAAATATTGCCGTTTCGTCGACATTAAAAACCCTACTTGCGTCATCTAATATATCTAGGTTTTCTTTCAAGTCGTTCTTTACATCGTCAAACCATTTTTTCAAACACTCTTCAGTTACGGACGCCCTGGCTCTGCCCAAATGTTGCGTCATCCTCGGTGCTACTTCCGGGTGCCTTTTCATGAATAATTTGAACCATTTCTCTCCGGGTCTCCCGTTTGTAAATGATGTGTTCCTGTTTATTTTTTTTATATACATTTCAATTGAATCTAAAAGCTGAGATTTGGTAACTGGGAAGCCCCTATCAGCACTTGTGAACATCCAATTAATTATAATATTTTCTTCCTCTGGCATAAGATTAGTCTTTGGACCCATGTGCCGAATTTCTGGATACTTTCCCTTTACTTTGTAATAAAGTGTAGTTTTTGGCACAATAAATTGTTTTGCCGCAGCTCTGACTGACATTCTATTCTGCTTAACAGCCAATAGTGCTTGCTGCATTTGTTCATCTTGGTATTTTAATATTTTTGACATATTGATAAATCTACAAAAAATCATATTGCCAGTAGCTGACACTAATAATTCTAATGGCTGACTCAAGGTGTCAGGTATTGGCACCGCTTAAGATATCAATCTGAGAACTTCACACTAATATATGCCTTACAATTGTAGTTTATAGAGTCTATTGTTGCATTT